TAGAGCGTGGGGGGGGGGGGGGGGGGGGGGTTCGATGCAGTGATGATAAAACGGGTCAGCCGTGTATCCGCAGGTCACAGTTCATAAAAGACTTTTTTTCCGTTCCGCGAACGGACGTGTTATTTTTCCCGCTCGACACAGACACGCCTTTCTATTTTGTGTGCGCTTACATCGCGCGCGATTAATTAAGAGAGAGAGAGAGAGAGAGAGAAAGAGAGAGTATGCGACGACAGAGGTATATTCTCGTCGCCGAGATATAAAATTGTCAGCCACAGGAATGAACTAACGCTGATGTCATGCAAACAGGAGGGAACCCTACGGTCGACCTATAATGCCGAGAGTAGTGAATCGACTATTACATCCGCTTCTGGTAACCGAAGAGGGGTCGATCGTGGTTGCCTTACACATTGACAGTCTCTCCCTCTCTCTCCTTCTGTCTTTTTTTTCTCTCTTCCTTCGTCTCTTTCTAAATAAACTCCTTGATAAATTAATTGCTCTCACACACTTATTTAAAAATAATCGAACTCATACACGGTACGCTTATTTAGCTGCGTTCACGCTTTGGCAGCCGGCCAGTTACGATTGAAATCCGATATGCAGCGTGAAAACTGTGGGGGAAACGCCGATATTAAATCGACTTTAAGAACGTTTCAATAAAGCGCGAATGGCGGCGCATATCGAGCACACCATCGATACTTGGTAATTGTATTAATTTCGATGAAACGCAAGCATATTTCTAACATTTAATCATATCCGGATTCTATGATATCGCTATGAACTGTCACGCCATTAACAGTGCAAAAGCCTTCGGCATACAGAAGATGTGCAATGGTTTAAAGTAAAACAAAGCGTTGTATCAAAGCTATATTGCGCGAAATTGATAGCTCGGGGCGCCGATGATATATGTAACGGTAGGCATAAGAGGATGCTCGTTTGTGTATATACGTATGTGTGTATGTGTATGCGTAGGCAGATGCACGCGCACACGGCAAAAGAAAAGTGAAACACAATGACGTCAGCTTTAACGCTTCAGTTGCGATCTTTTACCTTCGAACAACTCGAGACAATGGACGTCCGGCATATGAATACCGTGCCAAGACCGTGGTATCGTTGTGTCACACACGCACACGCGCGCGCGCGCGCGAGCGCGAGCGCGTACTCATGAAATTCACCCTCTTCTGGCGCACTCCCATGTGCACACAAATGCGTCTTTGTATAGCACGTACACGTGCGGAGGACAAGCATCACGTATAGGTGACACAACGCTTACTTTTCATCCTGCGGCAGTTTCCTTCGGTGACGACGTTGCTACGCCGTGAAAACGGATGCAGAACGATAGGTGACAGACAGGAGGGAGGGTAAACGGGGTGGAAAAAGGGGAGCCCTCCCCGGGAGGGAGAGCACGCGTTATATGCGCACGTGGTTATTTATAGGCCAGGCCGATATTAAAAGCAATATTTACGCGATACGCGTAAATGCGATATCTTATCGCGCCTTATCAAGGTGTCGT